ACAACTAGATGAAAAGTATTATGAAATTTCCTGCATGAGTCACCGGGTCTCAAGAACAAATAAATTCACTCAGTATACAAAGCACTAAGGTGAAGCCAGAAAGAAAGAAAATATTTGCCTTTAAGCTCCTGGAGAAAGGTTATACCTTGCTTGACTGCCCCTTAGAGTCCTCTGGAGAGTTTGCCTGCCTCCATCTGAACAAAGCTCCCTTTGGCGTTTAGAAAATCTTGTAGTACAATAGAATGGGCAGATTGAAGTGTCGGTTGCAATGGGGCTGAACTTACTGTAAGGTTTCTACAACCTTAGAGGATATATTGAGATCAACATAGACAAACCAGGAGTGCTGAGAACAGAGCAATCAGGAATATATAAAATGCAAATGAACTTCTTGTCTTAAAAATGTTTAAAAAAAATGTGCCATTGGCCCAGTTCATTTATTCTATTTCATAGACTCAAAGGAATATTTTGGAGGCAGTATGGTTGTGTCCTCCATTATATTGTTATGTTGAAAGGGGATAGTCCTAGAAATAGACTGCCTTAGATTCAAACTTTAGATTTGACAGCTTAGATTCAAATCTGATTAGTTGTATGAACTTGGCATAGCACTAAGTTCTTTTTTTTTTTTTTGAGTTGGAGTCTCACTCTGTCGCCCAGACTGGAGTGCAGTGGCCGCTCCCGGTCACTGCAGCCTCGACCTGCTGAGCTCCGGCGATCCTTCCCCCTCAGCCTTCCAAGTAGCCTGAATTACAGGCATGCGCTGCCACGCCCAGCTGATTTTTTGATTTATTGTAGAGATGAGGTCTCGCTGCCCAGGCGGGTCTCGAACCCGCGGGCTCAGGCAATTCACTCACCTCAGCCTCCCAAAGGCGCGGGATTACAGGCTGAACCACTGAGCCCAGCTAGCACTAAGTTCTTAAGGCTCAATTTCTTCTTCTGAAAAATAAAGAGTAACTTGAAAAAGAAAAAGAAAAAGAAAAAAGAGTACCTTGAAAAATTGTTATGAGGATTAAGTAAGATAATGCATGTCAAGCGGTTAGCACAGGTTTTGCTCAAAGTATCATGCAATATACATCATTGCAAAACTTAAGATTCGCTTGCAGCAGATGGCAAGTTGCACTGGATGCTTTCACCTGGGCTAGGCTAGGGCAGGAGGGTACTGCTCTGCTCTTCCACACTCTCCTCTTCTCTAACCCAGTTCCTTTCCCCTTCACTCTTGACTCTTCCTCCCTCAGGTAGGTCTTGTCTGATAGTTCAGGGCTTTGTCTTGAGCTTGAGGAAAGGTAATGCATAGAAGACTGACATCTTTTTCTGAATTCTACTGAACAAATCTTAAGGAGAGTGGAGGATTTCTCCTGATTGCAATCCCAACTCATTATAGAAAATTGAAGTAAGTTCCTGTAAGGATATTTGTGGGGTCTGAAGGGCTGTACGAGTGTGTATGTTGTGTGAGCGTTGGACAGGTGGTGGTGGGGATGATGGCTGTGGTGATGGAGAATGAGAATTGTGACCTTTGTGTGCAGCACCTCTACTGCTACTACTCCTTGATTTTGGGAGTAATTCCAGAATCTTTTGAGCTCTCAGAGGTGAAATACATAATTTTCACTCATCATTTCAAACTCTTTTTTTTAGCATTTAGCTCATTTTTAATCCCTTTTTTATAGCATTTCAGTCCCCCCACCTTTGTGTTTTTTTTTTTTACAATTTAGCTCTTTTTTAGTCCCTGAACAATAAATGCATAAAGAGCTCTTGAATTAGTTTCCAACTGAAGTAGATTTTGAGTAGAGGCTTTTCCATTTGCTTCTAGTTTCCTCCAGGTTGCCAGGCTTCTCTTTATTTATCAGTTTTCATTTTGTTTTTGAAAGCATAACACCCATCAAAGGCCTCAGCTGTCCAGTTGTGCAAGGCATTTAATGCCCAGTGATGCAATCTGAATCCAACTTAAAATCTGTTTGTCAAGCTATTAGCCCTGTTCCCATGGTATCTGCCTGGAAAAGGAAAGCATTATTTTTTCCAATTCACACAGAAGTCTACTGTGGGATAGGACAGTCCTCCCCCTGCATAGCCAGCTGATACTTTCCTCGCTCTGAGGGTAATACTGAAGTACACGCAGGATACGGAAATGTACCACCCTGTTGAGTTCAAGCATGTACTACATGAAGGTGCAAACCTGCTGATGTGCTTTCAAACCTGTACTGCCTCTCCTTTTCCTTGGCTCTGAAGGTCAGCAATTTTATTCCCAGATGCTGAAAGTACTGTGATTCCAAACCTTTCAGTCATTATCTTTGGAATGCTGATGAGTCAAAACCAGAATTAAATAAACTAGAAATATTTTTAAAGTAATGTTTAATGAGTACACATTTACAAAAGCCGGCATCCCTTAACATAGGGAAAGTATACAAAATGAAAGGTCTATTTTACTTAATAAAAATGTTCCCAGAATATAGGGACCATACTAGCAAGAAAGTTTAGTCCAACATTTTTATGCAGAACAGTTTGAATCTGTTAAAAGGAATACAGTTCACCCAAAGCACCTATTTCCATTAGTTACAGACTTTTCTTTCAGTCTTAAGTGAACTGGAGCAATCAGCTGTATTAAGATTGGTTTGATGGTTTTGGGAGGAGGGAGGGTAATGGGAAAGATGGAAAGAGAACACTGGCCTTTTCTGGTTGTTAGGTAGGTCTTGGAATCCTTGTGGTGGGGGGGGCAAAAGACAGGTCCGGAAATGTAGCTGTTATGCCAAAACCACCAGGGCACTCCTTAACTTTAGGTTTCATAGATGGCTTGTAAGTACTCAAGTTGGGCATTTTTATTAGGCTATATAACTGGAGTTCATTTTTATTATAGGTAAGAATTTTACCTAAGTGTGGCATTTTCTGTTTTCAGTGAGGGACTATGACCTGGTATAAACATATCACTCTTTTACCAAAAAGGAACATGGTTAACTCCAAAGCCTTCTCTAGATGAGCCTGGATGATACTTAAGCTTTAATTAGCCAATTCTCTAACCAAAGAGCAGGTTCCAGCCCCAGCATGCCTGGTTGTTTTGCATAACATGGATGCATGGTGACAGTTCCTCCTGTCTTTTCCACGAATGCTCTCGGGTCAGCACCACATACCATGGCTCTACTCAATCTTCTAGCTTTTTGTATCCTTGCTTAGGTTTATCAAGGATAAGTCGAAGAAGCATATGTTCTGTGTACCTATACAACCATATATAAGCAAACACAATAACAACCCAAAGTCTACAGTGGTGTGGTAAAACCAACATCCTCATTCTAGGTTAATAGTATTAATAAGGTCACTTAAGAAATAAATTGGCAATATATAGCAAATGCTTGTGAAAGTTCTTCAATTTTGTAAACTCAGTTCCTGGCAAGTATTCCAAGGAAATAATGGAAAAACATTTTTATGTAAAAACATTTTTATCAGTGCAAAGATATTCTATGAAATGTTATTTGTTTTAGTAAAAAATGAATATAGTCTACATGTTTAATTAGGGAAGTGGTTTAAAAGTGCCTATTTGATGTAATATTATGCAGTCAGTAAGTAAATACATATACCATGTAAGAGAAAAAAAGCCTCTAATATATTCAATGAAAAAAATAGTAAAATTGAGTATATAATATAGATACAATTATTTTCAAGGTTTTATAGAAAACATCCCTGATTGTGGATGATGTTTTAATATATTTTAATCATTTTTTATAATGTCATGTATAATATGTGATAATGAAAGTTTAAAAAAAGGTCTTTGTAGAGCAGGCAGAAAAATGTCTAGCTCAATGCTTTTTTATTTTGGTATGTGAGAAGATTGTGTGTAAGCCTCCTTTGCACTCCATGCTTGAACTAGAAAGGCTAATCCTGCTGAAGTTCATCTTGGAAAGGGCACTATCAGCACAGAAAAACAGTGAGAAGCATCCCACCTTTCAGCAAGGATTTGAGAAAGATCCAAGTCTCATATTATGACTGCTGCCCACATCTCTTTGCTCTGTGACTTTCCATCATTCTCTCTCATCTATGTATTGGCTAAATTTATACCTTTCAGTTATTCATTTAATTTTACTGCTTAAAATTATAACAGACTAAGGCAGATATGGAAGCTAATTCTTTATACCAGAAATGAATTTCATAGGTGATTAATATTGAAGAATATTTAGATTATATAACTTACAAAGTTTATTATACCCAAATAATACTAAATCTAATACAATGCAGCTTTACAATTTGTAAAAGATCAGGTTAATTTGTACTTTTTTGTACAAGGGCTTTTATCAACCCTTCCTTGCTTATTGCACATTGCAAGGGAACTCCAAACGGATACCCTTCCATTTTTCCTCAGTCTTTCCTAGACCTATTATTAACAGAGAAATAATCTTATGACAGCTCTATAGGTTTGCATATGTCCAAAGAATGGTTACTTCCAATAAACTGATATTTTCCTTGTGTTACAAAATATTTTCTCACAATAAACATCCATATTGATAAAAGCAAAATCAAAGGGATACATTCAACTGCAGAGTTCACTATGGTAATATTTATGATTGTCTTTACTTCTAAAAAAACTTCAAAATCTCATTATTTTAAGTTGATTTGCATTCTTCTTCAGACATACCTAATAAAGCTTTTTATCAGTGGCCACCATTGTACTGTTTTCTCTTTCACTTAGCCCTTGAACCAGAGAAGGAAGTTGCATGGATGTTTCCTGGATTTTGCAAGATATTAGGTCATATCTGTTGCCCAGAACAAAGAAGCTTCTTGATGTAAAACCACAAAGCTAATCTCAGTCTCAGTTGCATAGCCTTCGGGAAAAGAAGAGTCAGGGAGCGAACTGCACTGATTCATCACTAACCTGTAATAAAATGGTGCCCTCTTCCAGCCTGTTTCTCAAAGACAAGTAATGTTTTCTTCTGTGTTCATGGACTGCAGACCACGGTGGGAGAAAAAAGCTTACCTAACCCTGCCTATCATTCTTTCCTAAACATTCAATACCGAAATCTGGGTAAAATGAACTTTGCTTTAGACGTCTGATTTTTTATTCAATGTTGAGTATTTTGAGTTTCTTTCCCAACCTTGGCGAATCCTTGTAAGGATGTTGTCTATGCATGGCATGATTAGGATAAACTTGATCACCAGCACGATGCAAGGAATGATGAGTGCTAATACATAGGCTGAAGGAAGGAACCATCTGAGAATTGAAGGGCTGAGGAATCTTTTCCCGCCATACACCAGGGTGTGGGCTGTGCACAAGATCAGGGTCAAATAACCCAGTTTGGACTACAAGCAAGAAACAAAAGGCAAACTGATATTGTTTATGTTGTAAAGTGAGACATTCTAAGCCAATAATGGATATTTGTCAACAATAACAAACATTTGAAATCTATAATATTTTGGAAACTTTGCTAAGCAATGGAAACAACACTAGCTCTACTTCAGGATGGTAAAGGTTTTATTTTTTTATTTTTAAAAAGACAATTGCTTAAAAATGACATGATAGTTTCCCAGGAGTAAACTTTTCTGAATTAGAATAAATAATGAATCGTGCCTTGGTTCCCAAAGGCAACATTCTTTTATTTATCATCTTTTCTAGAGGTCAGAGATAAATACGATACAGTACGACCTCAAGAAACAGCACATTAGTATATGTCCCAAACGAAAACAAGATGCCACCTAACTTCTATTACAATAAAGAAAAATTAGCAAACTTTATTTTGTTTTGTCATAAATTCTAGAGCTCAACATTTATTTCTGTTTTAAAGCCTTGAATAGAGGCATTATTATGAGAAAACGTTGACTTCATTTATTCCCTGGGAGAAACTGCCAGACAGGAAATTCCAAGAGTTTTATAAAATTCAAACCTAATTTCAAAGACCAATGGTCTATTTTTATTATGCTCACAATGAGCATGCATCAGAATCATCTAGAAAACCAGATGATTTAATTAAAACTAAATGCTGGGCCACACCTACAGTTTCTGACTCAGTAGGTGTGGGCATGACTCCCAAGTGTAAATAACAAGTTCCCAGGTGATGCTGATGCTGTTGGTCCTGGTACCATACGTTGAGGAACACTGTTCTACAAGAGCACGTAGTTACTAACTGCCTTTAATGAGGTATCTGGTGGTCAATATGTGGGAAAAAAACAATTTTCCCTCTTGCAGACAAACATTAAGTTGGTGTGATGATCTAGTATATCATGCTTGAAAAATTTAAACTTTATTTCAATATATAGTTTTTCATTATCAATACATCCATATTGTAAGGTTAATTTTTCAAAGGTGAAATTTTGTCTTTCGGTTTCTTTTCACTTTGCATCTAGTGCATCTCCACATACAAAGTTTAATAGCTCTTGGTGCTTTTCACTCTATAGTCTTTGCTGGGAGCAGGCAGGGAATGCCCTTTTAGGAGATCAAACCATTTCTTGGCAGGGAATGCCCTTTTAGGAGATCAAACCATTATGGAATCTTATTGTTTTTACCTGAGTTGTGTTTTCTCATTTAAATTTTTAATGAGATGGCTAGGGCAGTGATGGAGCAAAATGAAAAATTAGGCATGATATGAGAAAAAAATGAGAATGTTTGTAAAGTTACACCTACTTTGCAATATAAAGAAGATTAAATCCTGAAGTCCTTACCTGGACAAATCGAAACTCTCTCCAGTTGACTATGTTGCTAACTGATGGCAAGGAGGTAATTCCCAAAAGTACAAACAGAAAAAATCCAAGGATTCCCAAAGCCAAATATGAATCACTTAGCCAGGCTGAAGTGGTACTGAATGAATTCTCCTTTTGGGATGCTGCCTAAAAGACATTATGAGCAATTTTCAAAAATTACATTTTTTACAAACTGACTACACTTTGAAAGAAACTAAAAAATACATCTGCATAGGTTATTTTCTCAAAGCAAATTGTATGGCACTTAAAAATAAACATTTAAAAATAATTATAGAAAACATACAATTAGAAATTACATTTTTGATGGAAAAAGTAATCTATTCTGGTGGGACTTATAACGCTTGATTCTAGGAGTTGTGTAGGGCTTTTAAACTTACACTATAAATCCTAAAACAAAGTAAACATTTACTTAAACCTCCATCACCATATGGCTTTTTGTTCCTTAGGCAAAACTTGATGTTCTCAAACAATTACATCAGAATTCTGTTTTTCTTTTTTATATGCTGATTATGCAACCCTCCAACTTGGTTTCTTTCATGCTATATTGTAACATGGCATCAATTCTGTTGCACTGCAGGTTGAGAGGAATCAGGCACTTGAAGTATGACTTTTACCAAAGAAAATTCCATATATTTCTTAGGAAAATAATATAGAAAAATCTATAGCAGCATCATCAATGAGTTATTGGCAAATAATCTTTGAAACTGCAGTAAGATCAATCAAAACCAGATTATTTCTAAATTAGAACTGACTTACAGCACTTCCTCTTGGAATGCTTTTAAGATTCTTGTAGCTGATTCTTTCTGAATCTTTTGATTGTGTATAAGATAGTATTTGATATTTACTCAGTCAAACATTAAGGGAGTCATAAGTACCCTTTTGTGAATTTGTTTGCATTGCTGTGGTACATGTTTGAGTAGTCCCTTTATAAGATAGTTGATTTTGATTTCCAAAAGGAAATAACATGCATAAAAATAGAAGCTTGAAAGCACGTTAGTTTACGTTTATTGACTACTACCTAAAGAAGTTCAAGTAGGTGTTATTAGTTTCCTTGAGTCACCAAATCTGTCAGTTTGTCAGTATCCCAGTGAGTCCTGGGAATACAGATCTGGTCCCAAGTGTACTGGGAATCTAACTTTATTCTCAATAGTTGTATACGATCTCAACTGGAATCATTAAGCAAAACCAATATGATGTTTCTAAATCTAGTTACTTTAAAAAATAAGATGTATAAAAGAGATAGTTTCTATAGTTGTGAAGTTATGATGTAGTAAGAGTCTCTTTGATTTAAAAAGCAGAGAAATATAAATGAGAAGACATTTACCTGGGTAATGTTTATGTTTCTCAACCTCCATCGTACATAATAACGAATAGGAATCACAAGTGTGTAGAGGACATGAAGGAAGGCAAAACCCAGGGCTACTAAGCCAAGCTGCTTTCTGCAAAGCATCCAGTGGTCGAGCCAGTCTGGGAATCGACGATATTTCGTACCTCGGTATAGCTGCAGAATGGCAGCAATAACACCAGGGAGGTAAACCAAAGCAAGCAGTATAAGTGCTGTTATTGGAAAGACACGATTTGGAATGGAAACAGCCATACGAAATGTAATATCCTTTTTCTCATAAACATAAGGGTAGATTACTTCTCTTAAAACACAGTAGAAAAAGAAGAATACACAGAGTGCAGCAGACAAATAGAAGGGGAGCCTCCACATTGGAAATAGTTGCAAGGGATAGTTTTCAATTTCATTGGCTGCCATGAGTGAACCTTGATCCAATGGAGTAAGCCCAAGAGTACGAACAATATCCATCACTCGTTGCTTGGCTTCACTGTCATTTCCACAGACAAACACCTGTGTTAAAAAAAATTAATTACTTCCGTACTTACTCCTTTTTAAAATTAAATAATTTGAAAATCTGTATCAGCACTATGCAGAATGACGACATGTAATAGTGAACTGTTTTTCATACAAGAATCTAGAATTATTTTATATAACAAGACAATGTTTTAAACTTGTACATGTGTGCTGGATATCTAAGTATCAAGTTTTGAGTTGACGGTGGTTTTACCCACATCATACTGACTTGGTTCTCCATAGTGTGGAGACTCCACATTGTGACTAGTTTGATCTTTCTTCTGTGTTTGTGGATGCCACATCACTTATGATTACTACTAATCTTGGTGCATTAATGGAACCAGTTTCATACAAGGTAATGGGAGTGGAAAAGGATACCCACCAAGCTGTATTAGTTTTCAGTACTGACAAGAGGCCTCCAGAGGCTGACATCAAACTAAAAGCTGAGGGGGCAAATAGCAGGAGATGAATTGCAACAATTGACTATCTTACTTGGTCAAACTCAATAAAATTATTCATGGCATATATTAGCAAAATGTAATATTTAGTGAGTATCTCCTTTTGGAACTGTGTTTTGGAAACATTATGTTAAGTGCACATTAAAATATTCACTTTTTACAGATTGAGTGCAAATTTGTTTAATCTTACCTGCCGACTTGCATCCAGTGCTCCTGACTGGAGAGCCCAGGCTGAGATGGTATTAAATGCTTTCACCACGTGGGCTCTTGGCACCAACTGAGCAAGGTACTCCGCATTAGATTCTGGATACTGATTGATTTTGAGGTTGTTGCTGACATCTACCAGTATTTTCCCATTAAGCTCAATTAATTCGGTGAGAAAATTATAATGCTCTCTGTGGATTGCTATGATTATGATATCAGACTTCTTGGCTGCTTCTGAATAACTCAAGACCTCTGCACCATGGGGCAGCAGGCTGGACATCTGGGAGTTTCGACTTCCAAAAACAACAGAATAGCCACACTGGAGCATTTTAAATCCCAGTGATCTCCCAAAATCACCAGTTCCAAAAATACATACAGTCTCTTGTTTTTCTGAAGAATTCATTGTAAGAGGAAGTGCATCTGTAAAGGTTTTATTCTCCATAACTGAAAAATAATAACACAAATACCCAATAAAATATAAATGCTTTGTGCATGGAAAATTAATGAGAATTATATTTAGGTAGTAATGCAATTTTGACTAATGTTCTAATTTTCTAATTATCTCAAGTGTGTTTTCTCCCAAATTTGAAAGGAATAAAAATTGTCATATATATTGTCGTATGTGTCTTATCTAACAAAACCATTAATGAAAAACTTTCTGTTGGGTAAAGAGATATAGTGAAAAACCATATCTATGGTTGTTTTAAACTATGGACATACATTGCAAGGCTATTGCATTTATAAAACATTTGTCATAGTTCTAAAAGTTCTCAGAGAAAAATCTGACAAAGCTTGCACTAATAAAGAAATTACAGACCAATTCACTTATGCTTAGTGATACAAAAATCTTAAATAAAACACTAAAAAAGAGAATCCAGCAGCTTGTTAAAAAAAAGTACAAGTTGATTGTTGACAAAAATGCCAAGCTCTGTAAAATATTTTAAGATGGTTATTTAATAAAAGTTGAACTCTTAAGATACAAGTTTGCAAAGTTTTCACAAAGTAACAGATTATAAAATTAAAAATCACCCACAATTTTAAATAAAGATTAAAAGAGAAAAAAATTAAAAATCAAAACCTTTTAAAATTTTATTAAGAGCAAATTAATACCTTAAGAAAATCTTGTTTTAACATAGGGGAACAAAATTTCGAAAGACTATTATAAATAATTTCCTTTAAATTATAATCAACTTAATCACATACCAAATTCCTTTCATAAATTCCCCTTTATGAATCTTATCATGACTTACATAGGCCATCTACAACATGCTTAGATTTTCAGTTTTACCCTACACTTCCCTCTTTCTGAAATGTCTAGTCATTTTACTGTAGGACAAAAATGTATCATATAAAGTCCTTTCTTATATAAAATAGTTCTCTTTTTAACATTTCTTACTAAAAATATATCTTTATACCAACAACTCCCTTCACATTTCTCTCTCCTGTTTACTAGTTCCTTTTCATCTTCTTCCATAAATAACTTTTCTAGATTCATACCTAAAATTAACCTTTAAATAACCTTCAAATTAGACAAAATTATTTTTTAAAATAGGAGTACAATTTATGTTTTATCATTTTTAAAAATCAAAAACACATCTTACTTTGGCATATTTTTATCTCCAGAATTATATTAGCTAGAATTCTTGTTCTTAGTAACTTTAACTTTTGGTTCAAATCTAGGAAGTCAGAAATTCTGAGCTATGTCAGATATTAGCATTTTACAGATAAGAAACATAAGGCAATTTTAGAAACATATTTTCCCATATCATAAACTTTTCTTAATTGAAACTGACCTAAACATTTAATAAGTTTCCAAAATAATTTTAAGATTTCAAATCACATGAAAAGCTCACCCATAAGCATGAAATCATTTATATTTATTCAATTTCATTATTTTTAGCAGTTTGCTTAATCAGTTATGCAAACGAGATTTTTAGACAAAACTAGTCATCACTTTAAGTTATCTTTCTGTTTGCCACTTTTATAGCCGGCAAATATCAAGTGTTTAAGTAAGAACCTTAAAATTAAATAATGAACATTTTGCCAATAACTCAGAAGATTAAGTTATTTTTATTGAAGCAACAATCTTAAATCAGGCTTACTTCTCAAAACAAATAATGTGCACAAATATCATTCTGTTTTTGGCTGGGTGTATAGTCTCATAACCTTCATATCAAACCTTGACACCTTCAAATATCTAGCAGAGGCAAAGGTAAAACTTTTCTAATTAGTAGACCCAGACAAAATTGTATAACAGTTTCGAAGACATTTCTATTTTATCAATAATTTTAAAACCATTTTTACTTACCAAAGATCATTAAGGTCACGTGAACTTGAGTTTCATTTATTTAATTTATGAGTACTCATTTATATATAAGCTAATTTGGTAGCATGCTAGTTATAATACATAACATGTACATAAACACATTTAAACATGTGTATACATACACATAAACAAAACCCAATAGCTTTTCTCTTGGAAAATCTAGAACCATGAAATAACAACATAAACTCACCATTTATAAATTGGAATCTGTTTACATAGCTAAACTCTGCCCAATAAGTCAATTTAATAAGGGCAGTAGCCAAAAATTTGGGTAAAGCAGTTTCCATGGTAGTTTGATTTTAAAAACCTTTTCACCTCTTTTTTTCAGTTTCAAATGAGTTTTCAACAAAATCTCCAAGTAGCCTTGAAACAGTGTTTTATCTCAGCACCAGTAGTTTAGTAAACAGCAGATTCAAAGCAGGCAGATAAGAGGAGAAATAGATAACTTAAAACACTTAACCCTATAGTTACAGTTTAATCATTTGAATTCTGAATTTTCTTTGCTGTAAGTTGTCCATCAGTTTAAAAATATGCATAAAAACAGGCCTTAATATCTAACCAGCTGGAGTCTCAGAAAACCTGCCTTGCCGTAATCTGGCTGGGGCTCCTGAAGGGGAATGTTCTCCTTGCCCTTTCTCTCATTTAAAGAATTTATTTCACATCTCCTCCCCATCTCCCGCAAATGAAGGACTGAGCTGTGGCATAGGGTTTTGTGTTGCGGCTCTGGACTGTGCTGATTGCAGGTGGGAGTCCACAGTGTTTCACCACTGAGTCGTTCTACTATTTATGTGTCACAGTTTTCTCATTGGAGGTCTACCAACTCTGAGAGGGCTCCAAACGCCTGCGGGATCAGCTCTTACATGCTCTGTACATTAATTTTGCTGGGGATTCCCTGTAAGGCTGCTACATGTCACAGGAGTCGATCTCCCAGACACTCCCATTGGGCCCCGGGTCACCTAGGGGCGCCTTTTGACTGGGAGGAGCAAAATGTCCATTCTCTTCGAAGCTGGGAAAGTCAGTCTCTCATTTACCTGTTCAGTTCCTCACCACAAATGTGCAGACAGGCCAATCGAGACCTTTTATTCGCCCCTGGGGGGAGGGAGAAAAGGCAATGGAGAGGGTGCTTTAGAATGCACCCCAGAATCAAAGTTTTGAATCCCAAACTATTTCCTAGGAAGTGAAAAATCAGTTCAGGATAAACCAGGGACCATCAACCTAAAGCGGGAGGTATGCGGCTCAGCAGAAACTTAGGACCACCTGAGGAGAAGCACAAAGTTGGTGGGGCTGTAAAGGACCCCAACTGGGATCTTGGTCCAGGTTCAGGTGACTTCTTTGGCAAGTCTGTTGTGAGGCTCCGAGACTGGGTGCCCACTGTGGTTGAATAGTGGCTTGGATATACGCATTTTAGGAAGGCATAAGTGACAAGAAACCATAAATCAATACATGTGATATTTTCATCTGTTTGGCACAGAAGGGAGGGACTTTGCCAAGTGGTGGGCTAGGGGGCTTGCAGGTCATAGGTGGATTAAAAAATTTTCTTAACTGTAAAGGAATTTTGGAAATCTGTAAAGGAGATGCTTTGTTAAGATAAGGGGGTGAAAGGAAAACTACAGGTTTGTTTTTATGTAGATGAAGTCCTAGATGTGGCAGACTTCAGAGAGGATAGATAAGTGTCTTACAAGGTTTCCTAAGTCTGGGAGTCCCCAGGAGATGGCTTTGCAGGACCATAAAGCACTTTGATTTTCTTTATTTATGTGATTTATTCCAGATTCAGACTGGAAAACAAACTGTAGGATATAGGGTAACAGGGTAATAAAATCCTTTCTGGTGAGTCCCTATCAGTCAGTGACTCCCCAAGCCTCTTAGTTAGGAATTTGGATAAGACAAAAAAGGTCAGGTCTAGTCCTTATGATCAATGGGGAATATTCTAAGAATGTAAAGATTAGTTCTATAATTCAATATTAGAAAATTCATTAATACAACTTAACATATGAAAATATTTAAGGAGAAAAATGTAGTCATATCCATGTATGCTAACTGGACATATGTTAAAATTTATTCTTGATTCATAGGAAAAAAGAAACAGATACTTCCTTAACATATAAAAAGTATTAATCTCAACCTAAAATCCAGTATCATGCCTAAAAGAGAATTACTAGAAATATTCCCAATAAAGTCAGAAACCAGACAAATATGTCTACTATGGCCATTTTTGTTATTATTGTTTTGGAAGTTATGGCTAACACAACTAGATCAGAGAAAAAAATTAGAGGTATAGAAGTTCAAAAGGCATTGCAGATCAAGTTGTAGATTTGGAAAACCAAGTGAGTCAACAGAAACAGTACCATACATACAAAAAAAATTTGACATCTTGCTGGGGAACCCGAATAAAATAAATATTCTTCATATATTCAAAGACAACCAGTTAAAAGATTTAACTGAAGAAAGGATCCCACTTATAGCTGCAACAAAATAGAGACAATATGCAACAAGACAGCAAGATATGTGCAAGATCTATATGAATAAAATTTTAAAATGCTCTTAAGAATAACAGAAGAGGATTTACATAAATGGAAATATACAACATGTTCTTGGATGGCAGGTTCAGACTCAGAAGTGTCAGTTTTCCCTAATTTAATCTATGAGTTCTGAAAATTAGGATACTAAATGGGATTCTAGTCTTACTAAATATTGAAAAATATTCTAAAGCTAAAATAATTGATTATGTGGTACTGTGAAAGGAATAGAAAGTGTTTAGTGAAATGGAGTAAAAAAAAGTCCAGAAATGAATTCAAACACATATGATAAAAATAACATCTCAAGACAATGAGAAAATTATTTAATAACTAATTTTAGGACAACTCAACAGCCAGCTGGAAGTAAAAACTAAATCCTTACCACACACTCCACTCCAAGGTAAGTTCAAAGTATATTTAAAAATTAAATTTATAAAAATAAAACTATAATAGAACTAGAAGAAAGCATGGAACATTCTTTTATAATTTTATGGTGGGAGGCCCATTTTCTACATCTTTAACCCATTAAAGAACAGCTGGGCAAATGTGATTACATAAAAATAAATAATTCCTGCAAAACCAAAATCACTGTATGCAAAGTC